CCCCTTCTTTCCACTCGCACCCCCCCCCCATCACCCAATCCAAAACAAAGTAATGCTGGCCAGTTTGGGGGGGAGGGAAGCAGCCGTTCAACCCACAAGCCGGACAACTCTTGTCTCCTGGCGGTGCTCAGGACCATCGGAACAAAATTTCTCTTTCAGCCAAGCCCCCCCCCCCACACACACACTTTCTTCCATGCCCAGAAGACAATTCCCAAAGCCAAGCGCAGCAGGCAGCGGGACTCCAGGATGGAAGGCTGAGGCCCTCTGCTGCTTCCAGGGAGCAACCTGGGGATTCTTGTCCTGCCAGGCACCCCAATTCTTCCAGGCAGTTCCTTAACTGGTCCCAGCTTCCCCCCTCCCCCGCTTGTGCCTGACAGAGGGTCTGCACTCACACAGCCCAAATTGCCTGTCAGATCCCTATCCGGAGGCTGCCATTCTGGTGGGAGGGGGGAACCTCTGGCCTTTTTGTGATGTATCCATTTTACCTTCTTCCTCTTTCGCTTTGACATATCTTCCTGGGAAATGGGAGAGGGGAGGGACCAGCCTGGGCCTTCTGTTTTGTCTCATCTCTGGAGAAGCAAGGTCCAGGCATCTGAGAACAACTTCTTATTACTTTCCCAGCTCGAAATTCTCACAACACCTTCGCATCTCTGGACTGGCTCTCAATGGACTGGGCAGTTGGGAGGATCTGAACAATGGGGATTTAACCTAAGGTTTTTTTGCCCGGGGAATTTTAGATCCTGCTTGTCTTCCCTGCAATCACTCTCAATAAAAGATCCTCTTGAAATGCTGCCTATTTGAAGAGTTCGACTTTCTTGAGCAGGGGTGTCAAACTCAATTTCATTGAGGGCCACATCAGCATTGCGGTTGCCCTCAGGGGGCCGGGTGTGTGTGGCCAGGGTGGGTGCGGCCTACTGGGTGGGCGTGGATGTAGTGGGTGTGGCCTATTGGGTGGGCGTGGCCAGCTCTACATCGTTTGCGTCAAGGGTGCCTGTGGGGGCCTGGGCAGGAGTGGGACAGATCTGAGGGTCTCTGGCAGAAGGGGGTGGGACCGGGGCAAGCGCCAAGGCCTGGTCCACTGGAGGAGCCTCACTGTTCCTCTCAGGCCATGTGGGGGGGGGGGCCTGGATGGTGGTGCGGGCTGCCCAGAGCCCTGGGAAGCAGAGGTCAAATGCCCAGCCTGGCCCTCGAGCACCCGCGGCACCAAGCTCAGCCCCACTTCCCCAAGGGGGTGCCCAGCTGTACTTACCTCCTCCTCAAGGCTGCTGCTGCTGTGCTTGCTCTCCTTAGCCAGATTGCTCATGATGGGTACGAGGGCAAAGTCAGAGGGAGGCCCATTCCCTCTCCATGGGAGGAGACCCGGCTTTGTATCAAAAGCTTCCTTAGCAATAGGATGGGAGACCCCCAGGATAGGCCAGGAGGGGGAGGCCTGGGCCAGGGCCAAGGCCAGGCAGCAGGGGCTGTTCCCTCACTGTTTCCAGGATGGCTTCACGGATCACATGAAACCACTTGCGGGCCGCATCCGGCCCCCGGGCCTTGTGTTTGACATGTCTGTTCTTGAGGAAATAGCTGAGGCAAGACCTTACATTGCCTTTCTGGGATTAAAAGGCAAAAAAATAATAATCCCAAGACATACTGCCTCTGTGGTGCCGCATGAGGGAGAAGCATGGATGCAACTCTTGCTGCCTCCCTTAAGGGAAAATGTTCAATTATCACTTCTAGGAAGAATAGTGACGGTCAAGATGAACATTTTACCAAAGCTAATTTTCTTATTTCAAACAATCCCTATTCAACTTACTAAGAATTTTTTTGATGATCTAAATGCAATGATTTTAAGATTTATATGGCAAAGAAAGAAAGCCAGAATCAAATATAAACTGTTACAAGAATCTAAGGAAAGAGGGGGCTTTGGACTTCCAGATTGGAGACTTTATTATCAAGCAGCTATTTTGCTTTGGCTTAAAGAATGGATTGTATTGAGAAATAAAAGATTGCTTTATTTAGAGGGACACGATCTTCAGCTAGGTTGGCATGCTTTTATATGGTATGAGAAAACTAAAGCGCATAAATACTTTCAAAATCATGCAATAAGAAACGTACTACTTTCAGAATGGGAGAAAATCAAACATAAAATATATATGAAAATACCTGAGTGGCTTTCAACAATGGAAGCATTTGCTTTCCAAACCTGATTAACTATGACAAACTTGTTAGTTATAAAGATATTTTGGACAAAGAGGGAAAACTTAAGGACAGGCAAACTTTACAACAACAAGGTATTGACTTGACATGGTGGTCCTATTTGCAAATTCAAACAAGATACGACAAAAATATAAAATCAACACATTTTTATAAAGAACAGACCCCATTAGATAAAATTTTGTTAAAAACAGATGAGAATTTGATTAGGAAACTCTATAAATTTATTTTAAACTGGAAGATGGAAGAAGAACAAGTGAAAGAAACAATGATAGTATGGGCAAAGAACTTTGGATATTCTATAGATTTGGAAGACTGGCAAAAACTTTGGGATAAAAATATTAAGCTTACAAAAGCAGTAGCATATAAAGAAAACTTATACAAGATGTTTTATAGATGGCATATGACACCAGTTCGCTTAGCGAAAATGTTTAAAAATGTTTCGGATATTTGCTGGAAATGTAAACAACAGCCAGGCACTTATTACCATGCCTGGTGGATATACCCTAATGCTAAGAAATACTGGTCTAAGATTCATAGATGGTTGGAAAAGATGATGAAAATACAGATAGAATTTAAACCGGAATTGTTTTTGTTAGAATATTAAGACCTAATTATGGTAAAGAGAATGACTATTTGATATTGCATGTTCTAACAGCTGCGAGGATAGTATTTGCCCAATTTTGGAAAAATGAGAATCTACCATCTGACCAGACTATAATTACTAAAATTTTAGAGTGTGCAGAAATGGATAGATTAACATTAGAGATGAAAGAAAAAGATGACTCAGTTTATTTTATAACTTGGGAAAATTTTTATCAATGGTTAGAGACACGTTAGAACTTGAAGGATTTAATATTTTAGAACAGGTGATTGATTCTTAATCGAGTTCTAATTAATACGTTGATGACATTGTTATTTTTCGTGATTTACTGATTTTTATCTGTTACTGTTGATTGTTAGGATTTCTTGAGATTTTAT